AAAACGCTTTTGATGCCATTAAAGGACTTCTTTTACTCAGCGCGCCATATTAAGCGCATCCGGATCCAGCACTACCCTTTGTGGTAGAAGTGGATGCCTCGGGAGAGTGCTGTTGGGCCGTCCTAATCGCAGCGCGCAAGTCCCTGGAAGACTTCTGCTTTCATCCTGTTGCTTTCTTTTCCAGGAAAATGATCCTCAGCGTGATAGAAACTATGATGTAGGGGATGAGAGAATTACTGGCCATCAAATCAGCCTTTTGAGGGGGTGGAATGGGGGGGAGAGTACCTTTTAGAGGAGCTGCACATCCCATTCTGATCTTACACCGATCACAAAAATCTCTGGAGTACCATGAAGACGGCAAAACGTCTAAAACCCCGACAAGCCAGGTGGGCAACTCTTCTTTTCCAGATTCAGCTTCCCCACTACCTATATACCAGGTGTGACATAAATATAAAGATTTGGGTAGCTGAGATGTGATCTGTAGAAATATGACAATGTAGATTTAAGCATTCCATGTATCTAATAATACAGTCATGGCCGAAATTGTTGGCAACCCTTGATATTGTACTTCTCCAGGGATATCATGTATTTCTCACGAAACGTATTGCATTAAACACTGTTTTGCTATACACATGTTTATTCCTTTGCGTGTGTATTGAGGACACAAACAAAAAAAGGAGGAAAGAAAGCAAATTCGACATAATGTCACTCACTAAACCTTCACAAAAATGGCTGGACAAAAGTTATTGGCACCCTTTCACAACTGCGGATAAATAAGAATGTTACAAGCATGTGATGCTCCTGTAAACTCACCTGGGGCAAGTAAACAGGTGTGGGCATATATAGACAAAATCACACCTGAAAGCAGATAAAAAGGAGAGACGTTCACATTAACCTTTGCATTGTGTGTCTGTCTGTGCCACACTAAGCATGGACAACAGAAAGAGGAGACGAGAACTGTCTGAGGACACCTGAGAACCAAAATTGTGGCAATAAAAAAAAATACAACAACAATCTCAAGGTTACAAGTCAGCCAAATCTCCAGAGAACTAGATTTGCCTTTGACTCCACAGTGCGCAACATTATCAAGAAGTTTGCCAACCCATGGCACTGTAGCTAATCTCCCTGGTCGTGGACAGGATGAGGAAAATTGATGAAAGATTGCAACGCAGAATAGTCCGGATAAGTGGATAAGCAGCCCCAAACATGTTCCAAAAGACATTCAAGCTGTCCTGCAGGCTCAGGAGCATCAGTGTCAGCCGCAACATATCCGTCGACACTTTAAATGAAATGAAACGCTAATGGCAGGAGACCCATTAGAGGGGACCCCACTGCTGACACAGAGAACATAAAAAAAGCAGACTACAGTTTGCCAAAATGTACTTGAGTAAAGCCAAAAGCCCTTCTGGGGAAAACGTCTTGTGGACAGATGAGACCAAGATAGAGCTTTCGTAAAGCACATCATTCTAAAAACTGTTTACCGAAAACAAGGAATGAGGCCTACAAAGAACAAAACACAGTACCTACGGTAAAATATGGTGGAGGTTCAATGATGGTTTTTTGGGTTGTTTTGCTGCCCCTCTGGCACTGGGTGCCTTGGACTGTGGTGCAGGCATCATGAAATCTGAGGATTACCAAAGGATTTTGGGTCGCACTAGTAGGGCCCAGTGTCAGAAAGCTGGGTTTGCGTCCAAGATCCTGGGTCTTCCAGCAGGACAATGACCCCAAACATACGTCAAAAAGCACTCAGAAATGGATGGCAAAGAAGCGCTGGAGAGTTCTGAAGTGGCCATGCAATGAGCCCAGATCTAAATCCCATTGAACACCTGTGGAGAGATCTTAAAATTGCTGTTGGGAAAAGGTGTCCTTCCAATAAGAGAGACCTGGAGCTGTTTGCAAAGGAAGAGTGGTCCAAAATTCCGGGTGAGAGGTGTCAGAAGCTTATTGATGGTTATAGGAAGCGGATCTGATTTCAGTTATGTTTTCCGCCAAAGGGTGTGCAAAACCAAATATTAAGTTAAGGGTGCCAATACTTTTGTCCAGCCCATGTTTTTGGGTTTTGTGTGACATTTAATGTCATATTTGCTTTTCTGCCTCTGTTTTTATATTTGTTCCAATACATACAAAGGGAATAAACATGTGTATAGCAAAACATGTGTTAATGCAATACCTTTTTTGTGTGAAATACTTGATTTTCAGGAAAAATATCAAGGGTGCCAACAATTTCGGCATGACTGTATAAGATGTGTTCAGAGTGCAGTCAGAGACAGATGGTCACCAATTAGCATCTGAAAAGGGACAGAGCTTCCTCTGGAAGTGACACCTGGGTGCCAATAAGATTTGTCAACCTTCTGGGAAATCTGAAAAGAAAAGGGCTCTAGACGGTTTGGCTTCATGACACAGAGCGGAGACCAGAGGTGGTTCCAATGTGTCTGGGAGCTTTGACGTATATACACAGATCAAAGGAATATATTTCATCTCTCATAAAAGGCTAAAATATTAGTTGCAGAGGCGATCGGACTGATGCGCTAGTGTTGGAAATTTAATCCCTGACTTGGTGATTCAAACCGTTCCTGGTCCAATCGACTTTGGCCATTTCAGCACCCAGAATGTCCTGATGTCCTGTGGGCTGGTACAAGAACACCCCCCCCAGTCAATTGGCCGAGGACTAATGTCCTACCTACGTCCATATTCGCATTGAGGACCTGGGATATGGCCGAGGAGATTCGTATGGAGCCGGTTCTATTGACTGACGGATTGCGAACTCTGACTTGCTCGCAGGATAAATCTTGGTAAAAGTTTTATTTCTGTTTTTATTTCATAGTCAATAGCCAATGTGTGTCTTCTTGTGTATTTTCTGTAACTTTTTATACTTTGTACTTTGTACATTTTTATGCTCCGCCCACTTTCAGGATATTAAATCATAAAATTAATAAGTGACTTCTGGGTATTTAAGCTCGGGCTCATATCTCCGGAGAGATTAGATTGTATGTATTGTATTTTAGTGTCTATATATGCTCGGTCAAGTTCATTGCCAATCTGTATGCAATTGAACTGCGTGTTGGCAGATTGCATGCAAATTGTAAAGTAGATCTGCCAGACGGAGATCTGTGTGTGTGTGGTGGCCCAGCAGGCCAGTAAAACTGTTGGGTGGTGGCAGGCTACCATTTGTTGTGTGTCTGGTGTGGGGGAGTGTGGACAGTGGAAGAGTGATTAACACCGGGGTTCTAGCTTGTAGGATAGCTGGAGGGATCCTAGAAGGGTGTGCGATTGCTAGGCTGCTCCTCAACCCTTAGTGTGCACCAGATTGTATGTAAGATTTTGTATCTGCCAGTGTGTGGTCAGCCAGCTGGATTGGAGTGGAGTCTCCCTCTAGTGGTGGCCAAGAGGTAGTGCAGGCTGTGAAAGTGTATCACGGCTGATCTTTTATATACGTGTGTGTATATATATATTCAGATTAAGTCCCCCTTATTCCCTCTTACCCCCAGTCACAGCCGCACGTGCGCACCTCGGTTAGCTAGTCACTATGGGAGTGGCGTGTGGGGTGGATCCGTGACACCCCGCGTGTCTTCTGTCCTCTTCAGTTGGTGCAGAGGGGTCACTACAGGATGAAGTCAGTGTGTGATGTCATGAAGTGGGTGTGGATCTCATACATGGAATGTGGTTGTTCTCTGTGTCCTGTCCAGGGAAGAAGCAGGGCGTATGGTACATGGTTGACCTGATAACGGGGAGAAGCAGCAGACTCTAACCTCGTCCTTCGCAGAAAGTGTCTGTCCATCCACCACACTCTGCTGTACTTGGGCAGGACAGGTGAGTCCCATCCATCTCTGGATGTGATGTCATCATTCGTGGATGATGTCCCTCTATCTCTGGGTGTGATGTCATCTGGATGATGTCCCTCTATCTCTGGGTGTGATGTCATCATTCATGGATGATGTCCCTCTATCTGGGTGTGATGTCATCATTCATGGATGATGTCCCTCTATCTCTGGGTGTGATGTCATCATTCATGGATGATGTCCCTCTATCTCTGGGTGTGATGTCATCATTCATGGATGATGTCCCTCTATCTCTGGGTGTGATGTCATCATTCATGGATGATGTCCCTCTATCTCTGGGTGTGATGTCATCATTCATGGATGATGTCCCTCTATCTCTGGGTGTGATGTCATCATTTGTGGATGATGTCCCTCTATCTCTGGTGTGTGATGTCATCATTTGGATGATGATCTCTCTCTGTCGCTGGGTGTGATGTCATCATTTGTGGATGATGTCCCTCTATCTCTATCTCTGGGTGTGATGTCATCATTTATGGATGATGTCATGGCTCTGGATAAGCAGACCTCCACTGATATGATGATGCTGCACTCCATATTCTGTTCAGTGAGTTGGATGAATGTCTGATGTCCCCATTTGGCCAGCACACTCCTCTCCTGTACGTACCGATCACTGTCATACCCCCCCACACTCTCTCCTGTATATACCGATCACTGTCACACCCCCCACCTCCTCCTGTACGTACCGATCACTGTCACACTCCTGTACGTACCGATCACTGTCACACACTCCTCTCCTGTACGTACCGATCACTGTCACACCTCCACACTCCTCTCCTGTATATACCGATCACTGTCACACACCCCCACACTCCTCTCCTGTACATACCGATCACTGTCACACCCCCCACACTCCTCTCCTGTACATACCGATCACTGTCATACCCTCCACACTCCTCTCCTGTACATACTGATCACTGTCATACCCTCCACACTCCTCTCCTGTACATACCGATCACTGTCATACCTCCACACTCCTCTCCTGTACATACCGATCACTGTCTGTCACACTGTCACACTCCTCCTGTACGTACCGATCACTCACACTCCTCCCTGTACTCCGATCACTGTACATACTCCGATCACTGTCACACCTCCACACTCCTCTCCTGTACATACCGATCACTGTCCACCCCCCCACTCCTCTCCTGTACATACCGATCACTGTCATACCCCCCACACTCCTCTCCTGTACATACCGATCACTGTCATACCCCCCACACTCCTCTCCTGTACATACCGATCACTGTCATACCCTCCACACTCCTCTCCTGTACGTACCGATCACTGTCATACCTCCACACTCCTCCTCTCCTGTACATACCGATCACTGTCATACCTCCACACTCCTCTCCTGTACGTACCGATCACTGTCACACCCCCCACACTCCTCCTGTACGTACCGATCACTGTCACACCTCCACACTCCTCTCCTGTACCGATCACTGTCACACTGATCACTGTCACATCACTCCACACTCCTCTCCTGTACATACCGATCACTGTCACCCCCCCCCACACTCCTCTCCTGTACATACTGATCACTGTCACACCCTCCACACTCCTCTCCTGTACATACCGATCACTGTCATACCTCCACACTCCTCCCCTGTACATACCGATCACTGTCACACCCCCCACACTCCTCTCCTGTACATACCGATCACTGTCACACCTCCACACTCCTCTCCTGTACATACCGATCACTGTCACACCCTCCACACTCCTCTCCTGTACATACCGATCACTGTCACACCTCCACACTCCTCTCCTGTACATACCGATCACTGTCATACCTCCACACTCCTCTCCTGTACATACCGATCACTGTCCTACCCCCCCACACTCCTCTCCTGTACATACCGATCACTGTCACACTCCTCTCCTGTACATACCCATCACTGTCATACCTCCGTACTCCTCTCCTGTACACACCGATCACTGTCATACCTCCACACTCCTCTCCTGTACATACCGATCACTGTCTGTCACCCCCCACCCCCCACACTCCTCCTGTCCTGTACATACCGATCACTGTCATACACCCCCACTCCTCCTCCTGTACGTACCGATCACTGTCATACCCTCCACACTCCTCTCCTGTACATACCGATCACTGTCATACCTCCACACTCCTCTCCTGTACATACCGATCACTGTCATACCCCACACACTCCTCTCCTGTACATACCGATCACTGTCACACCCCCACACTCCTCTCCTGTACATACCGATCACTGTCACACCCTCCACACTCCTCTCCTGTACATACCGATCACTGTCACACCCTCCACACTCCTCTCCTGTACATACCGATCACTGTCACACCTCCACACTCCTCTCCTGTACATACCGATCACTGTCATACCCCCCACACTCCTCTCCTGTACATACGATCACTGTCATACCCTCCACACTCCTCTCCTGTACATACCGATCACTGTCATACCTCCACACTCCTCCCTGTCATACCGATCACTGTCACACCCCCCCCACACTCTCCTGTACATACCGATCACTGTCACACCTCCACACTCCTCTCCTGTACATACCGATCACTGTCACACACCTCCACACTCCTCTCCTGTACATACCGATCACTGTCATACCTCCACACTCCTCTCCTGTACATACCGATCACTGTCACTGTCCTACCCCCCCACACTCCTCTCCTGTACATACCGATCACTGTCACACCTCACACTCCTCTCCTGTACATACCCATCACTGTCATACCTCCGTACTCCTCTCCTGTACACACCGATCACTGTCATACCTCCCACACACTCTCCTGTACATACCGATCACTGTCACCCCCCCCCACACTCCTCTCCTGTACATACCGATCACTGTCATACACTCCACACTCCTCTCCTGTACATACTGATCACTGTCATACCCTCCACACTCCTCTCCTGTACATACCGATCACTGTCATACCTCCCACACTCCTCCCCTGTACATACGATCACTGTCACACTGTCACCCCCCACTCCTCCTCCTGTACATACCGATCACTGTCACACCTCACCACACTCCTCTCCTGTACATACCATCACTGTCATCCTCCTCCACACTCCACTCCTCTCCTGTACATACCGATCACTGTCCTACCCCCCACACTCTCTCTCCTGTACATACCGATCACTGTCACACTCCTCTCCTGTACATACCATCACTGTCACTGTCACACCTCCACACCTCACTGTCACACCTCCGGACTCCTCCTGTACATGTACACACACACTCACTCTGTCATACCCCCACACTCCTCTCCTGTACATACCGATCACTGTCACCCCCCCACCACTCTCCTCCTGTACATACCGATCACTGTCATACCCTCCACACTCCTCTCCTGTACATACCGATCACTGTCACACCCCCACACTCCTCTCCTGTACATACCGATCACTGTCACACCCCCCACACTCCTCTCCGTACATACCGATCACTGTCATACCCTCCACACTCCTCTCCTGTACATACCGATCACTGTCATACCTCCGTACTCCTCTCCTGTACACACCGATCACTGTCATACTCCACACACTCCTCTCCTGTACATACTGATCACTATTTGTCATTTTCTTTACCTCTTCGGCCCGATTCTTGCACCTTTTCTCCAGTTTTCTCTGTTAATGGTCCTCATTAGAGATGAGCGAATCGAAGTAGCCGAAGTGGAATTCGAATTCGAGTCGAATATCGGAAAAATTTTGATTCGTGCCGAATCCGAAAAATAGCCTAATTCGGACGCGCGAATCGAAATTTTTCAGAAAAATGGCGGCTGACATGTGCGGCGACGGAGCGGGGATGTCTGGGAAGGCGCGCAGACAAGGCGCGCTGACCCATAATGCATTCCTCAACGACATGTGATCGCATCAGCCAATCAGCAGCCAGCCAGCCAGCACTGTGTAATGGTGAGCTATAAATAGCGGCCATTTTGGAATTCTTCATTTGCCTGCAGTCATTGAACAGCGGCAGACCGCTCTGTACTAGGGACAGGGACAGAGTTAGGGCCACAGAAACGATACTTGGGGACAGAGAAAATTTACTTAGGGACAGAGAACCATTACTCAGGGACACAGACTTGTTAATGAGGGCCACAGAATCGTTACTTAGGGACAAAGAAACGCTAGTTAGGGCCACAGAATTCATACTCAGGGACAGACAGAATTGTTTACTCAGTGCACAGAGAATTGTTACTAGGGCCACAGAGAATTGTTATTAGGGCCACAGAATAGTTACTCAGGGACAGACAGAATTGTTACTAGGCCACAGAATTAGTTACTCAGGGCACAGACAGAACAGAATTGTTACTGAGTGCCAGAGAATTGTTACTCAGGGACAGACAGAATTGTTACTGAGTGCCACAGAATTGTTACTCAGGGACAGACAGAATTGTTACTGAGTGCCAGAAATGTTGTTACTTAGGGCCACAGAAATTGTTACTTAGGGCCACAGAATTGTTACTTAGGGACCACAGAATTGTTACTTGCCAGAATTGTTACTGAGGCCAGAATTGTTACAGGCCACAGAATTGTTACTGAGGGCCACAGAAATTGTACTACTCAGGGCACAATTGTTACAGAATTGTTACTGCCACAGAATTGCCACAGAATTGTTACTTAGGGCCACAGAACTGTTACTTAGGGCCACAGAAATTGTTTAGGGCCACAGAATTGCACGCACAGACACAGAATTGTTACTCGCACAGACACAGAACTGTTACTGAGGGCCACAGAACTGTTACTTAGGGCCACACAGAATTGTTACTCGCACAGACCACAGAATTGTTACTCAGGGCCACAGAACTGTTACTGAGGGCCACAGAATTGTTACTCGCACAGACACAGAATTGTTACTCACAGAACAGACACAGAACTGTTACTCAGGGCCACAGAACTGTTACTGAGGGCCACAGAACTGTTACTTAGGGCCACAGAATTGTTACTCGCACAGACACAGAATTGTTACTGCACAGACACAGAATTGTTACTGCACAGACACAGAACTGTTACTTAGGGCCACAGAATTGTTACTTAGGGCCACAGAATTGTTACTCGCACAGACACAGAATTGTTACTGAGGGCCACAGAACTGTGTTACTTAGGGCCACAGAATTGTTACTCGCACAGAACACAGAATTGTTACTCGCAGGGCCACAGAACTGTTACTTAGGGCCACAGAATTGTTACTCGCACAGACACAGAATTGTTACTCGCACAGACACAGAACTGTTACTGAGGGCCACAGAACTGTTACTTAGGGCCACAGAATGTGTTACAGAATTGTTACAGGGACACAGAATTGTTACTGAGGGCCACAGAACTGTTACTGAGGGCCACAGAATTGTTACTCGCACAGACACAGAATTGTTACTCAGGGCACACAGAACTGTTACTGAGGGCCACAGAATTGTTACTGTTGTTACTGAGGGCACAGACACAGAATTGTTTACTCGCACACAGAATTGTTACACAGGGCCACAGAACTGTTACTGAGGGCCACAGAATTGTTACTTAGGGCCACAGAATTGTTACTCGCACAGACACAGAATTGTTACTGAGGGCCACAGAACTGTTACTTAGGGCCACAGAATTGTTACTCGCAGGGACACAGAATTGTTACTGAGGGCCACAGACCGTTACTTGGGGCCACAGAAACGTTAATCAGGGACACAGAATTGTTACTGAGGGCCAGAACCGTTACTTAGGGCCACATAAACGTTAATCAGGGACACAGAATTGTTACTGAGGGCCACAGAACCGTTACTTGGGGCCACAGAAACGTTAATCAGGGACACAGAATTGTTACTGAGGGCCACAGAACCGTTACTTGGGGCCACAGAAACGTTAATCAGGGACACAGAATTGTTAATCAGGGACACAGAATTGTTACTGAGGGCCACAGAACTGTTACTTAGGGCCACAGAATTGTTACTCGCACAGACACAGAATTGTTATTCAGGGCCACAGAAC